GCCAGAGAATCTTCTCTATCTCAATACCTTTCAATGTTTTTCAGTTTACCAACAAACAAACAAACAAAAAAAACGAGGAAACTTTAATAGTCATATTTGTATATTATGATAATTCTTGTTTGTCATTAGTGTGTACTCATCTGGTATTCCAATTGCTTTCTTCACAATTCATTGAGTGCTGTGTTTTGAGTTGTGTTCTTGTTTTGTCGTTTGTTTTAATTTTGATAAAGAATATTTTTCTTTCTCTCTATAGTGTCATTTCGTATCAGTATGATAATTGTGTAAACGATCACATTATTCATGTCATTTATCCCATTATAATAATGATTATTGATTGATCAATAATAATATCTCTATTGCCACTATTATTATTACTGTTAACACTCTTGGTAGTAGTGAACAATGTCTATCAATTATAGATTATTAATAAGAACCTGAATCAGAAGGGGTTTTGTGGAGATTGTAGTAATTTCAATAGTTAAGATCATGATTCAATTGAAGTTAGACTATCATGGAAAACCTGGAAGCATTGGACGGCCGTTTCGCCTTATTGTGGGACTCCCCAGCCGTGCTCATCTATGATCCCGCCCCGTGGGATTCGAACCCAACACCTATCAGTCTTGCGCGCAAGCGCTGACCTGGCATCTGACGGTGTTAATGTTTAATCTGAATCATTGTTGTAACAACTTATACACAACATGTGTCTTATTTTTGTAAAACATCCAGTGGAGAAACCTATGCTTCACTTCACCTCCTACTTAAAACCCATCGACTGAATATGCATGGATTTCAGTGTTGATGTTCACTATGGGACTCGAACCCCGTACCATTCACTCCTAGTGTCGAATACGTTATCCACTGAGGACTCTGTACAAGATGCACATATATTATAATCAAGACTGATGAAAATTCCATCAACAATATCAATAACGTTGTGATCCAAACAAATTTGAATGATGGTTAAATGTTACCATTTAACGAATTCACTTGTACATTGCTTTATGGAAATTAAATGTTTGAATATAGAAAGTAATTGCTCAGATTTATAGAATCAAATAATAAATAGCACAAAAGATATTAGGAGACTGTTAGATTTATATTGAGATCCCGAACCCATCTAAGTTAAGCAACTATCAAAAATCTAGGAATCAGAATTGTACACTATTGGATTCTGGTTCGGTGGTCTAGAGAATAAATCTTTGCACACGATACTAAAGGTTCTGGGTTCTATTCTCAAATGCCGGGTCGTGGATGCTCGCTGCCGAAAATTCTCATACTTGAGCGAACCGACCATCCGCTGTTTCCTGATTTTAAACGGTCGTAAATAAAGGTACATAGATATCCATGACAAATATCAACCTTATTCGAGAAGTTTAATTCATACAACATAAGACTAATATAAGATTGAATAATCCTGAGAAATGAAATTTGAAAAGATTTCTTTATTACACATGAATATGATTATTGTACAATACGGTATATTCAAAAGATAAACACACGGCGAAACTCTAATTTATGGACGACCTTTGAACGAATCTTAAGTCACCTTGAGAAATATTAGCCAATCAGCAAACGGTCAGTATAGAGTAAAAATATATTATACAAAACCAAGGAAATAAAGTGGACACACTTCCTATGCGTGATTCAAGAACTTGTCAAGTTTAGAAAGAGGTTCAGAGGTTCTAAAATCGTAAAGCATACCGTAGAGGAAATCATCCATATGGTTACAGAATAATCAGCTTCTGGAGCCACGATAAGTCTCAAAATCTCTTTCAGCCTCGACCACGTAGCTTCAATATTGCTTGTGTGCACTCCGGTTGTTGAGTACACAAAATACCACATGTGGACAACGACACGATGCACATAACCAAGCCTATGTAGGAGACTGTACGCTCTCCAATTATCCGTATATATTGTAGTACCTGGTTGCAACCAGTGTTACTGGTGCTTTTATTATCCAGTTCGCGATAGTTGTCATAATTTGCCTTAGTTAGGAATTATATAAGCAGTTTTCATCACGAACTGACATCAGCTAAAATGCCAGGAATTTATTTAATCAAAAGGATGAAAGACTTTCGCGCCAGAATCCGACATCCGTTATCTTATAACTGATTGATTTATCCACAAATTATAGTCTCGCCGTTTTAGTTGTTATAGCCGCTCAATTATCACGTTTTGTACAAAATTCTTCGTAAACCCACTGTACGTTAGCATTAAGCACTGAAGTTGGCGCCGTGACCTCGAAATCTCTCAAACGCTCTTGTCCATAAATTAGAGTCTCGCGAAACAAATTGAGAAGGGATTTTGGATGTCGAATATTTCTGACTACTCTCTTTATTGCTTCTATTCACACTGTATATTTGTTAATAGTATAGTAAGGAATTCCTGTATGGTTTGAAAACATTTCACCTCCTTTTATATTTTAAATAAGCACTATTTGTTTTTAAATGATCAATACTGATGATTTTATTCAAACTGAACAGTTCTTTTACCATATTGTTAGAAAGTACTTCATTACTAAGATTCATGTATTTTATCCTTCTTGAATATATATATTCATCGGTTAAGAGTTATAATCAGTTTAAAACTAACCATTTGAAACTACTTATAATTTACAAAACCAGATGGAACATCTTTTTTTAGCGCAAGTTAGTTTCCTATGAAATGGGGTCACTAATCCCATGCCCAACCCTCCTCCTTTACTCGGGCTTAGGACCGGCAGTAACTCTAGAATAGCTACACACGGAGTTTCAAGATGGAACATTTACTTTATATACATTGAATGTTTGTCAGAATCTCTAAATAACTAACAATTTTATGTCTACTTACAGAGGTGGTAATGGTTTAAAATCAATACCTTCTGGGATATGAATGGAATAATGATTTCATATCCAATTCAATGAAAATGAGTTTTGCTAATTTACTAACATTTTCCTAATGAAAGTTGGTTTCTTTATTTAATATTATACATATATTACATTATAAGATTCTCAGTATATATGGTCATTTGTACTTTATCATACTGACTGACTATCTAGATCTTCAGGGCTTAATACAAATAAGACTGACTGATATGTAAAATGTCAAGATACTGACTGATTAATCATTTTCTAGGCATTTGCGTATGAATTTGATTTATAAACGATGACTCTATTGATATGATAGTGACTAACTTCTAGTTTTTTCCAAAGAAATTCAGTTATTTTGCATGTCAATTTGATATGGACTATATCTAAGATTCATCAAGTTTCAAATACATCATTATAGATTTATCTTCCTACTAAGCTTTCGGTGAGACTATAATTTGTGTACGATCTTTGAGTGACGTTAGACTGACCTTGAGAGTGTTCACCTAATATCTGGGATCAAATGAAGGTGATAAACCTGTATGAGGAATTAGAATTATGATTTACAGTTGATGATTAAGCTTTTTGTTATAAAGTGATATCGTCTATAATGCCATGAATCTACTTAGCCAAATAGATGAGTGAATTTCATGCCAATATACGAGACCTATTATCTTATACCTGATTGGTTCGTCCATAAATTATAGTCTCGCCGTAATATTGGATCAATGTTTTGATCCATGAACTCTAATCAGTTAGCTTAGTTCATAATAGTTTTATCTTCCTTTACCACACAATATATGTAATTTAGATATTACACATATTACCATAACAAACTGTTTCCTAGTTATTGTTAAACATGGAACAGTTTCAGAATAATCTGCCATCACGAGGTTCTCTAGAATATATTACATAATATATATATATATTTCTAGTTAACTGCTCTTAGTGGCATTTGAATAAAGTACTTTTAAGAAGATATAGGTTGTTCACTCAGTAACAATATTGATAAATGAGTAACAACATAGTGCTGAACTATTACGGGCTTCACCATTCAAATAGACATACAATCTATGATACATTATGTAATTTTCAAGTTTTATTTACGATTTATAATTACGTTAACATTAAATTTGATTTGATTATTTCTAAGTGAATGATATAACTCAAGTTAAATAAAGTGCCTTCCGTTTCCGTTCATTCCTTCTCGATCTCTTACTGAAATACATTCTATTCTTGACTATCGTTATATACTACTTACCAAATGTTTTGGTACGGCCGAGAGTGGGGAGAGTCAACTCTCTCTCTCTCCCCCAAATGCTCTCACATGGCCACGTGCATACAACCACTGCCAGGAAAGTCCGACTCTTTTCCATCTCATCCCATGAGTGTTGCTTACGAAATTGAGAGGACGAAAAGTGAATGTCCGGCGCTTTGATCGGGTTGGTGTATACGGAGGATCCGCCTAGGGGATTTAAAAAACCCTGATTCCAAATCAATGGTGCACATGGGCCACAGGATCCTAAGGAAGCAAATAACGTATGAACCAATTGTTGGTCACCGGCTACCATGGGACTGGATCGCCTGACGTTGCTCCATTACGTTATGAATTAGACTTTTAGGCCCACTGCCTTTTATGGGGTGTGGCCCCCTAAGAAAACAACCTGCTTAGGTTTGGGTAACTGAGCAGTACCTCAACCCTCACACTAATCAAATGAGACTTGTGTGGCGCATATCTATTTGATGCCTCCTTGTATCAATATCTATGTAAACTAAAATAAATAGGCTCATATCACACTAGTACTTTAACAAACAAACAAACAACTTTTCATATATCTATATACGTTTGTACTTGATAATAAATTCGTTGAAAAGACAGAGATCCCTTCATTGAACTTCGCATCTTTTTTTTAAAAAAAATTAAGTGTACAATTTTAGCTGGTAGCTTTTCATGTTGTGAATGCACAAATCAATGCATGGTGTGTAGTCAAATCGCAAAACAAAAAAAGGTACATCGAATTGTATTCATTGTAGATGTATCTTTTACAATTTTGCGTTTTTAAGGTTTCATTCAGTGTTTCTATTGAATTTTCGATGCCCTTTCAATTCATAGAATTTAACTTTTTTTACTCATTAATCTTTTTTTTCCAAAAGGTTACCTATCGACGCTAGTCATCCAGGTTTCTATAATAACCCAACCACCGCTGCAGTTGTTAACAATTCTTTAATGAATCCTTTAATGAATGCAGGTCTATTGACAGGTTTTAATATGCCAAATCCTGCTGCTACATTATCACCTGGTATGAATGGTATACTACAAACGCCAACTAATCATATATCATCTGTAGCTACTGATCCAACATCTGATAATCGATTACAAGCTCAGCTCCCATTGAATCCACTAGCTAATTTGAATTATTTACTTAATTATTCTAATGCAATTGCAAATCCTTCATCTGGTGCTGCAGCTGCCGCCGCTGTTGCTGCTGCAGCAGCTTTTGCAGCTACAACGAATACAAATCAGCCAAATATTTCACCAGCTGCATTAGCACTTTTGATGTCCACCTACGGACAGGGTACAAGTGGGTTGAATACTGTATTACCGGGAAATAATTCATTTGTTGGAATGTCACCTGTCACACATCAATCGTTAAATGCACCCAGTCTACCAGCAACAAGCTTATTAAATTTGAACTCTACTACATCAAATACAACTGGTTTAAATGTATTGACAGGTAGTCAGTCTGTGTCACCATTCTGTAGAACATTCACTCCAGAGGTTTCACCGAATGAATTGAATGCATATTCTGCTGCTATGGCTTATCAGCGACTGCTTAATATGGCATCAAATTATCAAACTATTCCATCATCTTTATTTACACCTGTCAATTCGACTAACTCATTGTCAAGTGCCTTGCTTAATAATCAATTTGCTTTAAGTTCAAATCAGGCTATGAATTACAGTAATAACAACAGCGGTAACAATAATAATAATAATAGCCACACATCTAATAACAATATCAGTGTGTCAGCAGATCAATCCAACTCAATGCCTTTGATATTTCCGCCCACATCACGTAATTTAGTTGCATTCACATCGGACATAAATGGTGCATCATATGATTACGGTAATCCACAAGAGTTAACTGCCAATATTCACGCTAGTCTGACAACGGGTCAACATTCAGCAACAAATGCTACACCTCCACCACTTCGTGAAGGTTTAGAATGTGTCAATGCATCTGTGAATTTTTGATCAATAAATAATCCATAAACTGGAAAACAATCCTGGATATTGAGAAAACAATAATCATTTTTTCTTAAACTTGTCTTGTTCGGGGTGATCAATGTAAATTGTCCTTTATTTTCTCTTTATTTATTTGTACTTTAATTGAAATTGGTTGGTTGTAAAATGAAATTTAACCATCATAACGTTGAATATGTGTATTTTTCACTAACCTTTACCCTAATTCTCCTTATCTTCTAGCTAACTTATTACTCTAACAACCGAAAGACTGTGATTCCTTCCATTATCATTCTTATCATTGAAATATGACATCATGTGGTACATATCTTTATAACACATCCTATTGTTTCTTTTTTTACTCGTAATACGTCCATTCTAATCTAGTGATTTTCTCATTATTCTTTTTCTCTTTTTTCTGGTGATATCATTTTCATCTGGTTGCATGGATACGTATGTATACACATATATATGTAGTTGCATACACTTCAAGATTGAAAGTTCTGATGAATATCTTTATGACTTTACTAATTACTGGTAGATTTATTTTTTTCCCTTGCTGTATGAATTGCTCAAGATAGAAAAAGTTTCTGAAACCATCGGTTATTTGTATAATTTCTACGTTGTTGTTCTTTTTTTAAAGCAAGACTGTCAACTTGAATGACAGCAAAGAAAAAAAAACTTACTTGAGTAACATTTCGTGTTATCATTGCTAATTGTTAAGTATTCATTTCGATTTACTTTTATGGAGGCCCGTTATTTTGTCGTCATTTAGATCAGACGATGTTGTTGAAAGGGCTCTCCACTTTAGTGGCCCGAGATCTGACTCCAAGGAAATCGTAATGATGATTGTTGTTGAAATATATACGTCGCCTATCCTCGTACATAATCATCGACTTTAACCGCGTTAGTCAATAACGGATTTAGATAAGTCAAATAACGAGAATGGAGTTTTAAATACATATATTTTGTATATAAGTTGAATGGAATAGAAAGAAGAGAAATGAGGAGTTGAAAACCCTGATTCCAAATCAATGGTGCACATGGGCCACAGGATCCTAAGGAAACAAATAACGTGTGAACCAATTGTTGGTCACCGGCTACAACAGGACTGCATCTCCTCACGATTCTCACTGCTATGTGGATCAGACTTTTAGGTCAAAGGCTCGTGGTGTGGCCACCTAAGAAAACAGCCTGCTTCGGTCTGGGCACACGGGCAGTATCACAGCTCACACACTAACAAATATGGTGTGGCGCATATATATTTGGTGCCCTCTTGTACTAATATTTATGTGTTGAAATAAATCAAATAAAAATTACAGCCTTCAATCACAGATTACGACTAGCAAAACAAAATAACAGTTGGCAGAGATAACGCTTTAGTTGAATAACAACGACAGAATGAGTATTAATCAGTCAATCATGTCTGGTTTTATTGATACACGTAAGCAGTAAGCATTGTATATGAATGTGGTTTCACATAATGCTACAAATGAAGGAAAAAAGTGGTCTTTGGTTCCGTTGTTACAAAAATCCTTTCATGTACATGACACTATACTTTTATTTAAACTAAAGCCACGAGAATAATGTCTTCATGGAGATAAGGGAATATGAATTCAATAAGCATTAAAACCGGTCATGAAGTACTCCGGAGTCAAGGTACTTATGACTCTAAATCAAAACCTCAAGAGACATTGTGTTCTGTTGATGAACAGCGTGATCACTAAGGTATGAATAAGAGTTGCACCATCCTTATTCAGTCGACCACGACTTCAAAGAATTCATTTTTGCTATCACGAACATGGCTGTTGTAGAGGATATTCAGCTGGCAAGTTACGTGCTGAAATCGGGTTATATGAGGTTACTGCCTAATATTCCAAATTCTGGGCACAACCTCATTAGAGACGTCCCTAAACTATCACGCAATACATTCTTCCGCTGAAAAAAATATAGTTTTGCGGGATTTTCCAGAAAACACGGACCCTGACTACGCAGACTCTGATAATCGAGAGTAACTTCATCAAGCACTGAACACGTAGTGCGACTAGCCAAGAGGGACAGGGATTCTGAACCTTAGCTAATAAAGATAACTTTCTCATCCTCCCAAATGACGACCGCCACTCTGGAAGTATTTCATGTCAACAGACGTCTGTTACCAACCTCAATGTATATCCATCCGAACATACCACAAGATGTAATGGTCAGGCACAAAATGAAGCTGGAACTTGTTATTCCACTTGTAGACCGTCAAGAACAATGAAAAGCCTGGAAGGGACGGAGATTGCTGGCTCGGAAAATCCTGTGTAGGTAAGTTGTTTGTGCACTCATATAGGGCTCATTCAGATAAATAGGACAATAAAGCTCATACATTTAAGATCGACATCATTAGCTGCTTATGTATATCTACAAACGAATATTTCCTAACTGACAACCTGACAACTCTTGAATCTCTTGTCTAAAGGTGACCTAGCCGTCAAAGATTGCAATTTTATCAAACAAATCAAGCCAAGATATCCTACTAACAATAGGCTTCGTAATCGCAAGTGGTTAAATGTATTAGCTTTACAGGCCGGTCTACAGCAAGTCGACTGGGAAGCCCCCTTCATATTGATGTAGATGCCATATATATATATATATATATATAACACATATAAATTTGCATTTGATGATCCTTTGCAATTCATTGTGACTTTCATAGCAACATTCTTAAGCATTATTGCACAAATGTCTATACTAATATCCGGTTTCACTCTGTATATTATTACATAAATCTACATGTATTTATCCGAGTGCAGTAAAGGATTTTTGTTTTTTAATCTCATTTTATTTTTTAAATTTTTGGTTTACTTCAGAGGTCAATATTCATTACACAGTTATTATTATTATTATCGTGGTTGAACCATTTCACTAGATGTTCATTTCCTTTCTCTAACTTTTTTTCCTTCCAAATAAACATTATTCTTCAGATTACGAAGTTTCTAATTAAAACAATAACTTGTGTTACACACAAATTAACTGATCAGACTCATTTTATCTTCATTATGCACAAGTAACTCATACGTATTGATATTTGGTTATCCTTTTCACTTAATTGTGGCTTTCATAGCATCACTCCAAACTATGACTGCACACTTATTCTAGCGTTATGTCTCACTGCAATAATAAGTTATTTTTTCTGAATTATTGTCTATTTTATTTTTGTTACCAATTTCACTATACACACATAGTCGTTTATTCTTGTTCTGTGCCCATAAAAACGCCTATTAAACTATTTGCGCATTTGACGTCTCATTTATTTCTATTCCCTTGTTTTCTTCCTTTCCTTTAAACTCATTTCAATATTCTTCTCAATTACACAGAACATGATTTATTATTATTCTATTATTAATATTATCCCCTTTTTCAAATATGGCAAATATAACGCTAACATTACTGAAACTTGTGTATTAGAGCATTTTTGAAGAAACCTGAATTGGTTTCTTCACAACACTTATGTACCCATAAGATGTTTGTGAATAATAATAATAATAATAACAATAATAATGATAATACAAGTACACCACAGCGTCCTAACAAGCCACAGTGGAACGCAAACTTTAGACGGTTGTTAGCCGGCTAAAATATGAACAGCGCAAGTGTTTCCTGCCCATGCTAATAGTAATAATAATAAACAAAAGCCATATATGCTATAGGTTTTAGTTATGCGACAAAAAAAGATGCATGAACCGTCATATACATTAAATAAGGTTTAGTCACATGGTACTAGCGGTAATTTCCAAAATATTGTATGGATGACTGACAATAATTGGTTCAGCTAGAGTGTAGTCGTGAGAGTTATACTGCAAGAGCAATGTCCTGACTACCTATTGGGTCAATTATCCATAGTAGTGTTGATAAATGGAGAGTTAGAAATAATTGTGAATGCAATCTAGCTGTGAGCATTAGGTCAAACAGAAGCTATAAATGAATCCGTTAAAATAAGGTATGTGAAGTCATTACAGCTTACATATGTAGCGAAAAATAAATCCCCAAAATAAATAGTTCTGTTAGTCTTTGATACTTGTTGTTAACGTCACTAGTTTTGATAGACATATCTAGCTGAAGACGTTCGGTCACGCATCAATAGTGGGTACGCATCCCTTACAACCTTTAGCCAGCTTAGATCGGTCGCTTCTCGAGACATCGACAGTTTTTCAAATTTATGTTAAGAGGTACTCCTCGTTCTACCAATAGAAGAAACCATACTAGTAGTGAATAGGTCTTTATTTTGAAATTCTTGAAGGTGAAGTAAAGCGTGAGGTTACCTTTTCAAACATATAGATCTTTACGACACTCAATGTAAAATAATGTGAAATATAATCTCTATGCAAAGTAAGGAAGTGAATAAATGATTGAGCTTCAATGTTCTAATATTTACTTAGATGTTTGCGGCAAACTTTCAATCAATCAACCTAGGTTGTTACGGAATTATAATAGGCAACGAGTTCAAAATTAAAAGTAACTGCAAGACTAGAGCTATAAAGGCTTAAGGGTGTTACGGGCCATTTATAAGTTATTTCACTTCTTAGACGAAGAAATGTATAAGGTATCACACCCGACCTCTATTAGGCCGCGTTTGTAATAAAGGATTGGGGTAGAGAGTTCCTGTTTCTAGTATAAGGTGGACGTGCTAGAACTTGTTGAACGACGAGGGACCAAAATTATTAAAGGTCTCCTTAGCCTATCTTATGAAAACAGTCTGAGACACTTAGATCTATCTTCGACATCTTACCGAAGATTACAGGATTATCTAACACTAACTTACCATATACTAAACGATGATCTTCGTATAAATATGCTTTTCTTTTCTTTCCACATAGGACTTACCATTAGAAGACATTCTAAGAAAGTTCTGAAACTGAGATTAAATTGCTAACGTCTGGAGTGACGTTTCTCGCACTAAGTGGTGAACTAATGGGATTCTTTGCCAGAAAACGTAATATCAGGGCTTTATGTTGATACATTCGAAGCGAGACTGGATCTCCACAGTGCCACAAATTGCAAGGATTTATGTAGGTCGAATGACCTCCTATCCTTACTACTGAAGACTGAAGATGTCAATGGTAAGGAGAAGCAATACAAATTAACGGTGCTACAGGCAAGAAGTACATACGATTACTAATGTGACTGCATATGTGAGAACCTTTCCACTGAAGTGTTTGGAGATGACGATGTTTGATCAACTTCTGATATGGGTGTTGTAACAAATTCGGCTCCGATCTGGAATGTCTGTAGGGCTATTTACTTTCAGAAGTCAGTTAAAATCATAAATTATTTACCAGAATTGTTGATATTCATTCTGGAACTTGTAGTAAAATTCTGTTGAAAAATAATGTACGTCCAAATCCTCCATATAAATAGCCTGATACACTTTGATACCAACAATGAATGATGTAAATTTCGAGTTATTAAAATAATGTTAGTGAGGAGATTCGCGAGAGTGTTTAACTGTTCCAGTCAGATGACGTAAGTTAAAAGCGGTAATTCCGGAATTGTCGACCTTGACATCATTCCGACTTGTTATTCGTCTTAAATTCGTGGGACTTGGTGTTCTCAGTCAATCCCAAACTGACGGGAAGGCTATATCCAAAGGGGTTGATCATCTCGGCACGACCCTTTTTTGATCGTCTTTAGAGCAATTTTAAAGTTAGTAGACTAGTCTACTACTTGGTCGTATTCACGAATTAACTACCAGTTAAACTAGTTTAAATAGGTTCCTGAAGTAGACCAGGTTTACTAAATATGTCCTACAGTAGTCTCTGTTATTTTTCGTTTTTGTTGTTTGTTGAATTACGCCAGAAGCTGTCACTTATCCGTGGTCATAGTTCCCCTTGGATTTATTTTGATATATTGCTTTTCCCTTATGTACGCTCTTGATGTAACATCAACCGCTCATAAAATATTTTGTGCCACAAATACGTAATTGTGTAATTGGTGTTTTTAAACTTTAGTTTTTATATGTTTAGCTGTAGTTTATTCATTTACCGTTTGAAAGTTACACGTCGGTTTATAAATTAACCCTCAATAATTTTTCCGTCTTCAATAAATTCATTTTCATTACTTTCATTCTACCTTAATAAATTTTATACATTCGTCGCACTAATTGATCTTGGTCACAACTCTCTCTGTGCTAAACTTGTTTTAGATGGATGTGGCTAAGCTTTTACACTTAAATAATGAGAAACAGGCTATCCTTTTGCAACTGTCTGTGGTGTGTGTCGCTGCTATTTTAGGTAGGTTTTTGTTGATTTCCAATTATGATCAAGCTTTTGCTGTTAGATTGTACTCTGTTATTCGTTTCGAATCTGTTATTCATGAATTTGATCCTTATTTTAATTATCGAACTACACGTTTTATGACTGAGAATGGATTTTACCAATTTCATGATTGGTTCGATGATATGGCATGGTATCCACTTGGAAGGATTATTGGAGGTACAATTTATCCTGGTAAGTTTGAGATATTGAAGATATATCATAGGTCTTATGATGACATCTTCTTTTATATACTCACTACTTCATGCTATAAATGTTACCATGGATATACGAAACATATGTGTATTTTTAGCACCTTTGTTTTCAAGGTGAGATTGTACAATAATTTATCTTCACAGTTTTACAACTTTAGCAACCTTTTTACTGACAAGTGAGATTCAGGACACTAGTTCTGGCCTAATAGCTGCTGCTTTGGTTGCAATTGTACCTGGTTATATTAGCCGATCAGTTGCAGGTTCTTATGATAACGAAGGAATCGCCATATTCTGCATGATATTTACGTTCTATCTGTGGATTAAAGCTGTTAAAACCGGTTACTTGTTCTGGGCTTGCGCTTGCAGCTTAGCGTACTTCTACATGGTATGTTGGTTGTTCTCACGTTTACTGATTCTAGGTTTCTTCCTGGGGTGGATACGTATTTTTAATAAACATCATACCTATTCATGTATTAATGCTCATGCTTACTGGAAGATTTTCAAGTCGTGTTTACTCTGCCTACTCTACTGTAATTTCAGTTGTTTAAACGAGCTTTTTTATAGGTCTACGTTCTAGGCACTATACTGTCAATGCAGATTAGTTTTGTTGGCTTCGCTCCTATAATATCCAGTGAACATATAGGAGTAAGTTTTTCATTTTTGTTGCCACTTTAGTTTTAGGCTCTCGGGGTGTTTGGATTATGTCAACTTTTCTCCTTTTATACGTACCTTCGTGGGGCTTTATCTTCTGAACAACTGTCAATAGTTTTGCGTGTTTTTGGTTTATCATTGTTTGGTATATCGTTGATTGGTGGTTCTGTGTTGTCTGCTACAGGTGAGCATTGATTTTTCTTAAACTTACTCCGTGGAGAACTTCATCTGTTTATATCTATTGCATACTTTTTTATAAATAAAAAAATTAGTTGCCGATCACCAGTAATCAGAAAGTAATTTATGGTGTACCAACTAGTCCTTTATGAGTTTCCAGGGTTCATGATGGTGTATGTAAATGAACGTTTACATTAAAAACTAGGAATAACTTAATTTAGTTAGAAATCGTTCAGGTAAATGTAACAACTAGAAATGAAACACTAACATATTAATGGAATTCATCACAAAAGTCTATTCTTGTGTAGCAATATTAACTAAGTCTAATGGGTGCTTTACGTTCAATCTATGATTTTATGTGTATCATTCGCCATCAACTAATAAGTACATTTTTGGAAAAATCGCTCATGATATATTTAACTGGCATGTGAGTGGACGACCAGACAACTGTGTTCAAGTCTTATCGTTGACCAAACTCTTCATTACTCACACAGTCAGTCAGTCAGTAACAACGTAGAACTTCGTACGTACGTACATCAGTTCGAGTTGCCACACCACATTAGCACGGAGATGCAGTTGTCGATTCAAATCCCGTAGTGGTAGAGGTAATAAGAGTATAATCAGTAATCCGAAAGATTAGGGTTTGGAGATGTTATTTAAAGAGTATAATCCAGTGAAATAAATTTGGAATGAGGAAAAAAGGTACATGATGAATTCAGAAGATTAGAATTTGGGAGAACACAGAGAGTGGATGCACCTGCTCCATTGCGAACGATTTTGAGCCATGTCGTTCAGGGTCTGTAACCATCGGTTGCTGTCATCTCGCGGTCCCCAACCAGGTAGTCTACACCTGCCAACATGACTCAGTCCACTTGTCAGTGACTTCATGGATTTGTGCCATGTTTTGGTTTGGCCGCCCCTAGCTTTCTACCAACCTACTCCTATACCACTGAACATAGCACGTCGAGGTAGTCGGTCGTTGGGCATACGTAACACGTGTCCTAGCTATCTCAACTGATGAAGTTTCACTACGTCATCAATTGATTTGCCATCCTTACCTAGTACCCGTTTCCTAACAACTGTGTTACTTACTCGATGGTCCCAGGATTTACGAGCAATGTTTCGAAGACATCTATGATCGAATACTAGTAACCTACGGATATCCTCTACTCTTACCGGCCATGTTTCACTGCCATAAAGTAGGACGGGACGAACTGCTGCGCAGTAAACACGTCCTTTGATTGATAGACGGATATCTCGCCTACGCCATAAATGACGCAAGTTGGCAAAAGCTAGTCGAGCCTTCTGTATCCGTGCTGAGATTTCGTCACAAACCAGACCACAAGGGCTGATGAGACTTCCAAGATAAGTGAAGCGGTCGACACACTCAACTACTTCACTCCCTATCACTAGTTCAGGTGTCAATGCAACCCAATCCTGAAGCAACATATATATATATATATATATATATATATATATATATATATATATATATATATATATATCAGTCAGTCAGTCAGCTACACCGTAGGACCAGGCGCATATGTGCATCGGTCCAGGTTGCCATACCTCATTAGCACAACAAGATGAACAGCGGATTCATAGCAGTGGTTAGGTCAAAGGTGGTAATATATAAGAGAAAGATTGCATATAGAGATATAGTACAAGAAGAAAAAAATTGGTTCGTAGAAAGAAAGATGTGAAGCGATTTTAATCTCTTTGTTTAAGGGAAGACAGGGAGTGTATACACCGACGCCATTGTGATCGATTCTGAGCCATGTCACCAAGAGTCTCCAACCATTGGTTACGAAAGTCACGCGGACACCAACCAAGTAGTCTGCATCTACCAACATGGCTCAGACTAGAAGTTAGTGACTTCATGCACTGATGCCACGTTTTGGTTTGGCCGCCCCTAACTTTCGTCTAACCATCTCCAGCACAGGTTAGCATTGCACGTCGTGGTAATCGGTGTTCAGGCATACGTAACACGTGGCCCAACCATCTCAGTCGATGAAGATTCACAACCTCATCAACTAATTTACCATCATTCCCTAATACCCTGCGTCTAACCTCACTACTACTTACCCGGTGATCCCAGCAGATGCCAGCAATATTTCTAAGGCATCTGTGGTCAAATACTAATAGCTTTCGAGTGTCTCCTATTATTAATGGCCGTATTTCGATGCCGTTATGTAAAACAGAACGGACTGCCGCGCAGTATACCCGTCCTTTTATTGATAGACGGATATCTCGCCTTCGCCAAAGGTGACGTAAGTTGGCAAAAGCCAAACGAGCTTTTCGAATCCGTGCTGAGATTTCGTCAGACACCAACCCATTAGGGCTGATCAGACTTCCAAGATAAGTGAAGTTGCCAACGCGTTCGACTACTTCATATTTATATTATTATTTATTTGAACACATAAATATTGGTACAAGAGAGCGCCAATATATATGCGCCACACAAAACAATGGGAATTCGAAGAGAAGTAAAAAGAAAAAAAAACTAAGGAACGCAAAAGAAAAAGAGAGTAATGACGAAGAGGTACAATCAGAAGAAGTCTTTCAGGTAAAGGAGACACAACCACTTTTTATGAAGAAAGTAAAAGAAGGTTACAGCAGGATCGCCACTGGCTTCTATTCTGAGCCATATCTGATAACGTCTCTAGCCACTGTGTAGCACCATCTCTCGGACCCCAGCCAGGGAGTCGTGAAGGACCAACACAAGCCAGTCCTTTGCAGCTTTCTTTCATGCCACGACACCATGTCATACACTGACCACCTCTCCGCTTCTTCCAACCAGTCCCAGAGTCGGCAAATAATGCACGACGTGGAATTCTCTGGGCCGACATTCGTAGAACATGTCCAAGCCACCGAAGTCGGTGTTTCAAGATGGTGACACCAATTGAGTTATCATCTCTGTGCCCGAACACACGATGCCGAACCTCTACATTACTGACATGGTGTTGCCACTGAATGTCAGCAATCCTCCGGAGACAGCGATGATCGAACACAGAGAGTCGTCTAACGTCCTCAACTCGGAGAGGCCAGGTTTCACAAGCATAGAGCAGAACTGCTCTCACCGACGCGTTGTAGATCCGACCTTTTACAGCCAGACTAACATCACGAAGGCGCCAAAGGTGGCCCAGATTGGCATAAGCCGCTCTGGCTTTCACTATTCGTGCATTGATCTCATCACCCACACCCCCACCAGCACTTATGCAGCTACCCAGATACACGAACTTCTCGACTACTTCTATCTGCTCACCATCCAGGGTGAGTACAGGATTGGAATCCTGCCAGTCTTGTAGAAGTACTTTGCACTTCGAAGGTGCAAAGCACATACCATACCTACGGACATTGATTGCCAACTGATTAAGTGCGGATTGCATGCCTTGGGCATTATCGCACAGTAAGACAATATCGTCCGCATACTCAAGGTCGAGAAGTCTTTCTCCAGGCAACAGATCCACACCACCATTACTTACATTCATCAGAGCTGTTTCCAGAATGTCATCGATGGCAAAGTTGAAGAGGAATGGTGAGATTGGGCAACCCTGCCTAACCCCACTGCTCGAATGGAACAATGGAGAGAGGTGGTTGTATGCCCTCACTCTGCCTGAGGTGTTTTTATACAGGGCTTTTAGGATGTTAATAAACTTCTCAGGCACACCCTTCTTCAATAGACAATCCCAGAGAACAGTCCTATCCAACGAATCGAAGGCAGCCCTGATGTCAAGAAACACTACGATTGTTGGCCTTTGAAAAGTATGGCGGTGTTCTAACATTTGGCGGAGGGTGAATATATGATCAATACATCCTCGACCAGAACGAAACCCAGCCTGCTACTCGCGAGTCAATCTTTCTCGGGTTTTGAACAACCTACGAAGAATGACGGAAGCCAATAGCTTGGACGCAATCGGAAGTAAACTTATCCCCCGATAGTTGTTACAAGAACGACGTGAACCCTTTTTAAAGATAGGGACAACTATCGACTCATTCCATGACGTTGGTACACTCTCTAGTTCCAAAACCTTTGTAAACAACGTCGTCAATTCCTTAGTCAAAAAGTCACCACCATCTTTAAAAAGAGCCGGAGGTAAGTCATCTGGGCCAGGTGATTTGTAACGCTTCAAGAGTTGGAGTTCCTTGCGGACTTCCTCCTCGTTTGGTGGATCAGTCGTCATCGGCCATGGAGGGCAGGACAGTCTGACCGATGTTGCCGGAGCAGCAGGCCAGTTTAACTGCCCTTCGAAAAATTCTGCCCATCGTCCAAGACGTCGACGGATGTTAGTGATTGGCATCCCATCATCCTCGCAGATTGTTTCACTCACACCAGACTTCTTGCTGTCAGTGGCTCGGATGAGCTGGAAGAGCTTCCGGTAGTTACCAGATGCAGCTGCTGCTTCCAACTCATTAGCACGCATCGACCACCAGGCTTCTCGGTCCTTACGCAAGCTTTGCCCGATTTCCTTACGTAACATCCTTCGTTTATGGTCAAACTCACGGTCACCCGGAGTAGACCGACGGGCTTCAATGAGTTGTAAGGAACCTGCAGAAACCCAGTGCTTAAAAGCGGGACGTTTCGCAAACCCATAACTGACTGTTCTCGCCATTTTCATGGCGTCATGCAATTGCAACCAATGCTCATCTATACTTTTCGGTGGAGTGGTAGCTAGCCTAGAGGCTAGCTCAGTTCGATACTTACTTGCAACAGAAGTTGCAACCAGCTTGCTAACATCAATCCGTTGATGGCGTTCACTTCGTTGTCCACTGAAAAGTAAGGCAAGATTGGCGCAGACCAAGGCATGGTCAGAGTCCAGATAGGTACTCCAAAAGGAGCGGCAGTCTTGTACACAACCACGCCAGCGGTAGCTGATCGCGATGTGATCAATCTGAGTCCAGGCTTGAGATGCAGAGGGAGGACGCCAGGTGGCACATCGGCGATGACTGTGCCGAAAGTTAGTGCTAGCCAGAAACAGGTTGTGGTCTGTGCAAAGTTGCAGTAGACGGTCCCCGTTATCTGACCTGCGACCAACGAGTCCCCATCGGCCACCTAAACGACTCTCTTCTGTGCCTAGACGCCCGACCTGAGCATTCAAGTCTCCGGCTAGTACTACAATATCTGTCGAACGCACTTTCTGGAGAAGAACTGATAACTGGTGGTAAAACTCATCCTTGATTGCATCCGGGCTGCAATCTGTCGGGGCATAGGCGGAGATGACGAAAAGACATCTTTTCTCACGCCGATTTCTTCTCACTTTGATGGAACTTTCTAATCTAACAGCACATAACCGACTGTTAATGGGGATCCAATCGACTAGTGCTGCCTCAGCTCTAGCGCTTAGTGCGACACCAACGCCAGCAAGACCAGACGAAGATGCCACAGGGTCCCCGGATAAGCGCACGTAAAACAAGCTTTTCGAAGCGACAGATGGAGATCGAATTTGTAGTACTTCGCCAGAGTCTTGAATACGGGTCTCGGATAGACAACACACGTCGATATTAAGACTTTCCAAAGACATAGCCAGCCCTATCTGTTGTCCGACCTGCATAAATGTGCGAACGTTGAAGGCAGCCAGTTTGAATGGTGCACGTGGTTTCAGAAAATCTGCTTCAGTCCTCGTATTCGGTGGTAACATACAATTTTCAACCGGACAGTGACTCGAGAACGTTTAGATACAGTCGGAATTCCACCAAAGACGAGCCGCTGTATAAGTATAAAAGAAGGTGAATAATGTGGAAAATAATAATAATAATGATGATAATAACAATAATGACAATAATAGTACTAATAATAATATTAGTATTAATAATGACAATAATTGTAGTGATCATAATTTGAATCGATTGATTGTTTTTCAAAGCGACAAAAGTAATTTCCATAGACATAAAGAGTTCATCATTTGTGTGTGGGCTGTGATACTGCTCGGGTGCCCAAACCGAAGCAGGTGGTTATCTTAGGGGGCCACTCCCCGAGCCTTTGACCTAAAGGTCTAACCCACAAGGCAGTGGAGCATCGTAAGGAGATGCAGTCCCATGGTAGCCGGTGACCAACGATTGGTTCATACGCCATTCGTTCCCGCAGGATACTGGAGCCCATGTGCACCATTGATTTGGAATCCGGTTAAAGCGCCGGACATTCGCTTTTCGTCCTCTCATTTTCGTAAACAACACCCCCGCCACGAGAAGGCAATGAGTAGGACTTCCCTGGCAGAGGCTGTATACGCGTGGCCGTGTGAGAGTATTTCGAGAGGGAGAGCGGACTCTCCCCACTCTCGGCCGTACCAGGGCATTCAGGGGGCGTTCGACTACTTCACTCCCTATCCTTAGTTCAGGTGTTGACGCAGACCAGTTCTGAAGCAACAACTTGCATTTAGAGGGAGAGAAGCGCATTCCAAACATTCTGGCATTGTTGCTTAGTGCTACCAAAAGACTCTGCATTTTGTCAGCGTCTTCACTAAACAGGACTATGTCATCTGCGTATTCTAAGTCGATGAGTGGACCTCCTGGAAGGAGATCAATACCCGAGAATCCAGTCGACGAGAATGTTATTTCTATCAATAGGTCTATGATGAAGTTAAACAAAAATGGAGAAAGTGAACAGCCTCGACGTACACCACTCGAGGTTGCAAAAGCAGATGACAGTTCGCCATAAGCCCTGACTCGACTAGTAGTGTTCCAGTAAAGAGCCTTCACAAGGTTTATGTACTTCTGAGGTACGCCTTTCAATGACAGACTCTGCCACAGAATCTCGCGGTCTACAGAGTCAAATGCTGCTTTTAAGTCAAGAAAGACCACCATCGTCGGACGCCGATAGGTATGCCTGTGTTCTAGAACCTGACGAATGGTGAATATGTGGTGGATGCAGCCACGACCAGGTCTGAAGCCAGCTTGAGTCTCTCGTGTTTGCAGTTCACGAGTCTTAGTTAAGCGTCTGATAATTATCGAGGCTAGTATTTTAGATACTATATTAGTTAAACTAATCCCTCTGTGGTTGTCACAGAATGACTTTGACCCCTTTCTTATATATTGGGACGATAAGTGATTGCGACCAGTCAGATGGGATAAAGTCTAATTCCCTAATGGCTAAAATTGGACCACCATCCTTAAAGACCTCTGGAGCCAATCCATCTGGACCAGCTGCCCTTCCTCGTTTCAGACTAACTATAGCCTTTTGAACTTCTGCTAGAGTTGGGAGAGATTAGTACAAATCTTCACCATCTCAAAATAATATAAGCGTAATACGCTTCTCGTTGTAAGAGCAGGGGGGCCTACTTCAATGTTCCATTCACATTGTCTGGGAATGGAGGGTAGTTGTAGAGTAGCTGAAGGCCAGCAGAACTGTTCTCTGAAATGTTCCGCCCATCGTTCTAAACGTCTGGACTGGTAGCAGATGAGGGTGTCGTCTTTTTCCGAAATAATCTCACTTACACTTGACTTATTAATTCCAGTTTCTTTTATTAGTCTGTAGAGCTGTCTTGTGTTCCCTATAGTCGCCGCCTTTTCCATCTCTTTTGCTTTCGTTACCCACCACTGCTCACGGTCGTTTCTTAGACATTTTCTTAACCTAGATCTGATTTGTTTTCGCTCTTCATCAAGTTTAGAACCTGATGGGACGAGTTTGCGAGAATCCATCAGTGTGACAGACCTTGAAGAAATCCACTGGTTCCTTGCAACTCTGTGGTTTAAGTCACTAATAGATGTCACTGCTGTTTCAACAGCTGATTGTATGCCCTTCCAAGCAACATCTGGGTCAGCCTCGTCTTCACAACTACTTAAGTGTGACCTCAGTTGTTCCTGGAACCTACTTTTGGTTTTCTCGTTACTCAACTCAGTTCTAACGGGTCTTTTTAATGTGGCTTTTTTGCGTCCAGTGAGGCGCAAGCAGATGCGTGCCCGTATTAGGGCATGGTCGGAGTCCAAGCAGGTACTCCAGAATGAGCGACAATCTTCTACCGACCCTCTCCAACGATGACTGATGGCAATATGGTCTATTTGAGTCCATCGTTGGTTTGGTGTAGGGGGTCGCCATGTTAGACGATGTCTCTCTTTATGCTTAAAATTTGTGTTTGCTAAAAATAAACGATTGTCTGAGCACAGTTGCAGCAGACGATCACCATTATCTGTTCGCTGTGCCGGAATGCTAAAATATACACCTAAATGCCTTTCTGTTTGGTTTAAGCTACCTATCTGAGCATTAAAGTCGCCTGCTACGAGTACTATGTCTGAACGTTCAGCTTTCTCAAAAAGTTCAGAAAGCTTTCTGTAAAATTCATCTTTCATATCATCTGAGCTGCAGTCAGTGGGAGCGTAGGCAGAAACGACAAAAAGGCAACGACGTGTGTCCCTATCCTTCCGAGTTCTTACGGAGCCGTTCAGCCGAACAGCACATAGACGACTGTTGACGGGGATCCACTCTAGCAGTGCTTGTTCGGCCCTCATGCTTAGTGCTATGCCTACACCTGCCAGTCCACGAGAACTGGCCATCGGGTCACCAGATACACGGAGGGTGTACCTCGTTGCCTCTCCGTTTTGCCAAGGTGAGGTCAAGTGAATGACCACACTGGAATCCTGTATGCGTGTTTCGGAGACACAGCATACATCAATGGAAAGAGACTCTAGGGTTTTAGCCAAGGAAGCCTGCTGACCGATTTGACATAGGGTGCGTACGTTGAAGGCTCTAATGTGTAGTTTGGAGCGAGGTTTCAGTAGACCTGGGACAGTGTTTTGAGCACTAGAATCGTTGGCTATGGTGTCATTTGAGGAGGAAGCCGAAAGAGGAAGTTTAGAGTGGAAAGTCGATGTAGGAATTGAAGAGGAAGGTTGATTATGAATATATATATATATATATATATATATATATATATATATATATATATATATATATATATATATATATATATATATATATATATATATATATATATATATAGGGGCTTACAAACTTTATTGTAGTTTTGTAAATACTTATATTTTCTAAAGTTAATGGCTAAATTATTTATATAATCCAGGAAAAATATCACCCTGGACTGGACGATTCTATTCTCTGTTGGACCCAACTTATGCCAAAAATCATATCCCAATCATTGCTTCTGTAGCTGAGCATCAGCCGACCGCTTGGAGTTGTTATTATTTCGATCTTCATTTCTTAACGGTAATGTTTCCTGGTAAGTTAAAAAAAACTTCATTCGGCATGCTAATAACAATTCTCTTTTGATTTTTAGTGGGTTTATACTATTGCTTCCGGAAATTGACAGATGCCGGTATCTTTGCAATAATATATGGCGTTACAAGCGTTTACTTTTCGGTTAGTTGCAGTAATTATTTGTTATTAATAGTATCATAATTATTGGTTTTTTGTTGCACTTTTTCCACTGGTGTAAGGGTAGTGATAATACTTGATTTTCGAACAATAGGGAATTAGGGTTCAAACTTACAATCTATCGGTTAGGGTTAGGTAGTTTAACAACGAACCCACTGTTTTATCTATCATAATCATATCTTTTGCTGAACTATAACTGAATTACTACTATTTTTAGTAATCAATAGTGATTGATCGGTTGTCATTTCGTTGCAGTGACGACAACATGTGTAAATAAAATGTAAGCGAATTCGTGATTGTTTTTTGTTGTAACTGGTTCATCAGCCATTATCTTGTGTTCTAAACCGATTGATGATGATAACACTCATTTACCAAATGTAAATTCGTGTAGTTTGAGCCACACCTTATGTTAGGCTAAATGATACTCCAATGCTACTCAAGCCTATGACCTAGTGATTGAAAGTCAAACCCCTTAATTACTAAGCCAACTTTCACTTATATGGCCAGTTAGTGACATATACTTGTTCAATAAAACGATCTTTGACCATGATCGCTCGTACAATATACTTCTTGAATTAAACCATGTATGTCTTAAACAACCCAGTTTAGTTACGCTCATGTCTAGAATGATAAATTGATTGAAAACCCTTGATAAACTCCGTATTTTTTAACTAAACAGAATATACCTATTAAGACGTAAAGTAAGAAAGATTAGTTCAGTGAAGAGTTCTATTTTCGGCGAATTCACTTTCAAAGCTGTACAATCGCAAATATATACTTGTTTTTCAAGATGATAATAATCACAATAGAAATGATAAGAAAATTTGTTAAATATGGTAACAGTGAGGTAGAATAAACGAAAGCAATAAGACGTTTTTTTATCAGGGAAACTAACGATAGTTTTATCGTTAAGGGCTTGAATGTTCATTATGAAAATAAGTAGGAAAATTATAATTGGGAAAGGATGGCTCAATATAATAAGGTAAATTGTTGAAATTGAGATGAAATGTAATCTGGAGGACTACAGAAACAGAAATAAACTAGTTGGGGGTAAAAAGTAATATAGAGAGAATAGAAGAGGAAGCAGATGGCTTTGAAAGAGAAAAGAAACTTATAAGACATTAAGACCATGGTAGAAGAAAAGGTTGCACCAATTTCTCTTGAACATAATTCTGATTTTTCTAGATGAATGGTTATTGCTTCGACAGTGTTAAGAAGATGCAATATAAGTGCCTGTGGAAGCCTTCTATTTACCTTGCGGATGACGTTGAACGCTGACTCCGGTTTGATTGGGTGCCCTCACTTCATAAGGTGTTCGACTATTGATCCGTTTCCGCCTCTTTTTATTCAAGCCGAGTAACGTTCTTGAATTCTTTTGGATAAAGTAGGCATCGAATGATCTGTATACCTGGCTTCACATGCCGAGGTAAAGTGATAAATGGTTGGAAGAAAGTTAGGGGCTGTCAAACCAAAACGTGGTATCAGTGCTTGAAGTCACTAACTACTAGTCTGAGCCATGTTGGTAGATACTACTAGACTACTTGGTTGGGGTCCTCGTGATTATCGTAACCAATAGTTTGGTGACTGTGGGTGATATGGCTCAGAATCGATCACAATGGCGTAGGTGTATACACTCTTTGTCTTCCTTTAAATTATCACTTTAAAATCGCTGCATATCTTTCTTTCTACGAACTAATTATTTCTTCCTGTACTATATCCTTATATGCAATCATTCTTTTATATATTACCACTACTGAATTAACTACCATGAATCCGGTGTTCATCTTGTTGTGCTAATGAGGTATTGTAACTTGGACCGATGCACATAATTGCCTGGTCCTACGTTGTAGCTGGCTGACTGACTGATAAATGCACATAGGGTTGATCAGATGAGATAATTTATCTTTAAGATTACTGGTGAACACTGATCGACCGGCGAACACTATTCCCAAAGTTGCAGCGAAGAACGTTCTTTTTAGAGAATCGGAAATTCTCCTCTTTAGAACGTTTATAACTACCACCCTCAAAATCCATGTTCATGTTGATTCAAACCAGAATTGTGTTCAAGAGAAATTGGTACAATCTTTTCTCCATACTTTTTTCTTTCAAATCCATCTGCTTCCTCTTCTATTCTCTCTATATTACTTTTTACCCCCAACTAGTTTATTTCTGTTTCTGTAGTCCTCCAGATTACATTTCATCTCAATTTCAACAATTTACCTTATTATATTGAGCCATCCTTTCCCAATTATAATTTTCCTACTTATTTTCATAATGAACATTCAAGCCCTTAACGATAAAACTATCGTTAGTTTCCCTGATAAAAAAACGTCTTATTGCTTTCGTTTATTCTACCTCACTGTTACCATATTTAACAAATTTTCTTATCATTTCTATTGTGATTATTATCATCTTGAAAAACAAGTATATATTTGCGATTGTACAGCTTTGAAAGTGAATTCGCCGAAAACAGATTGTTTTGAGAGGAAAAACGATGATTGGTTTGAAATTACAAATTTTATTAATTTGTAGTTTAAGAAATTTAATGTAAAACTGTAGAACTGCAACCTGGATTTATGATAGTAGCCAGGTTTTGGCCAGATTGTTCTCTTGCTTGTGACTTATTAGAATGTGATGGTATGATACTATACGAAGTAACATAGTGACAATAGTCGCTTTATTAAAAACTATGTATTTTGTACGATTCATTTAATATTATTTCATTCATCAAAAATCACTATCTGTGGGTGGGTTATAATATTTTCTAGATGCTCTATCCAAGACAAAGTAGGTCGTTATCTTAGGGGATTGCCCCCAAGCTTCTAACTTAGGGGTTTGGTCCACTAGCAGTGTTATAAGATCCAGTAACCTAAGTAGGTTTGCTTTTCATTAACGTCTTTGGAATTCTAGAGTTCATAATTCCCATTTATTTGGAATAATGGTTTTCCAAACTCTTAGGTGAACCCTCTGTACCTATCAATCCTATCCAAACACTAAATACTAGACTATAGCAGTAAGTAGGACTTTCCTGAGAAAGGCTGTCAATCCTCAACCTCATGATAGGACTTGGACAAAAAAACTAAATTCTCTCCATCTGCGGTCGTTCTGTGACACTATACGGCGCACTCTTATGATAATTCATTGTACCACTACCTTCATATACTATAAATATTATCCCATATTGCTTATTTGTAACCGTGATTTTCCTGTTAATAAATAACTATTGCATTCACTGTATGTTTTAACGAATTGTGCTAAATCATTCTTCCAATTTTATTAACCATGGCATTACGTAATAAGCCAATAAAAAACCTAGTTTCCTGAACTATAATTTACGTAATGTGATTGTTTTCAAATATGTTCTCTAATTTTCTAGGGTGTTATGGTTCGGCTTATCTTAGTATTAGCACCAATAATGTGTATTTTGGGTGCAATTGGAGTTTCTGGAATTTTGAAATCATTTTCAGTTAATCTTAATGTACCAGATAGTCAAAGTACGAAAACACCAAGTAAACTTACCGCAGCTAATGGATATCCATCTATTCCAAATAGTAATAAACTTTATAAAAATACAGTCCAAGACTCGACTTATCCGTTCAAAAATACAGTAAGTTAATATCTCTTTGTTTCTGGTTAAAACATATTCTGATAATAAAGTACTATCATTTACTGAGTCATATCCAATATCATCTAGTTTCAATAGGGTAACCGTTATGAGTCTTAGTCTGAAGATCGTTTGAATTACTACATTTGTACCCATTTTTAATATCCTTATAAATTTTGATTTCCATGCCACTCGTTCATTTTTATATGGTTTTCCACTATACTTGATGTTATTCCGTTAACTCCTTTTACCATGTAAATATCCGCTCTTTATTAATGTGAACTATCACAACTCGAATTAAAAATTGCGCTAGATCCTGTTTTTTTGGTAACTGATAGATGCTCGAAAACTCATTCCACCTGGCTCTGAACATAATGAAGAGCGGAGTGAGCTTAAGCGCAAGCTGACAAGAAGTCTACGCAATGATCGTGAACAGTGGTGGGTAGCGAAAGCAAGAGAGATGGAAAAGGCAGCGGCAATAGGTAATAGCAGACAATTGTTTAGACTCGTTAAGGAAACCGGAATTAGGAAACCGACCGTTAGCGAAACAATCTCAGAGAAAGATGGACATATTATTCATTCTCAATCCAGGAGATTGGATCGATGGGCAGAACACTTTAGGGATCAGTTCAACTGGCCTTCAGCCACACTTCGGTTTCCCACGATCTCCAGTCAACCTGAATGGCAAGTTAATGTAAGTCCTCCGTCCCTTTACGAAGTTGAAAAAGCCATAGGAAATCTGAAACGAGGGAGAGCAGCAGGCCCTGACATGTTTACTCCTGAGATTTTTAAGGATGGTGGTCCAGTATTAGCAGCAAGATTAACTGAGGTCTTAGGTAGAATTTGGGAACTGGACGTAATCCCATCTGACTGGTCTCAATCACTGATTGTGCCAGTTTTTAAGAAAGGACAAAAGTCCTCTTGTGACAATCACAGAGGAATCAGTTTGACTAATATAGTGTCTAAAATATTGGCCTCAATAATACTTCGACGCCTAACTAAAGCTCGTGAAGAACAGACTAGAGAAAACCAGGCTGGTTTTCGACCTGGACGTGGTTGTATAGATCAGATATTCACACTACGTCAGGTTCTAGAACAGAGACACACATTCAGACGCCCCACAATGGTAGTATTTCTCGACCTTAAGGCGGCATTCGACTCCGTTGATCGTGAGGTTCTATGGCAGTGTTTGTCACTGAAAGGAGTACCAAAGAAGTACATTAACCTTATAAAGGCTCTCTACTCGAACACAACTGGTAGAGTGAGAGCTTATGGCGAACTGTCATCAGAATTGATCACCTCAAGTGGTGTTCGTCAGGGCTGTCCACTCTCCCCATTCTTGTTCAACTTTGTCATTGACGTACTTTTAGAGATAACACTCTCCTCATCTAAATTTCCAGGGGTTGAACTTCTACCGGGAGGTTCACTTGTTGACTTAGAATATGCAGATGACATAGCTTTATTTGGTGAAGACGCTGACAAAATGCAGAGTCTTCTGACCACTCTAAGCAACAATGCAAGCATGTTCGGGATGCGATTCTCTCCCTCGAAATGTAAAATGTTGCTTCAGGATTGGGTTACATCGACACCCGAACTAGTGATAGGGAGTGAAGTAGTTGAGTGTGTCGACCGCTTCACTTATCTTGGAAGTCTCATCAGCCCTTGTGGTTTGGTTTGTGACGAAATCTCAGCACGGATACAGAAGGCTCGACTAGCTTTTGCCAACTTGCGTCATTTATGGCGTAGGCGAGATATCCGTCTATCAACCAAAGGACGTGTTTACTGCGCAGCAGTTCGTTCCGTCCTACTTTATGGCAGTGAAACATGGCCGGTAAGAGTAGAGGATATCCGTAGGTTACTAGTATTCGATCATAGGTGTCTTCGAAACATTGCTCGTATATCCTGGGACCATCGAGTAAGTAACACAGTTGTCAGGAAACGGGTACTAGGTAAGGATGGCAAATCAATTGATGAAGTAGTGAAACTTCATCAGTTGAGATGGCTGGGACACGTGTTACGTATGCCCAACGACCGACTGCCTCGACGTGCTATGTTCAGTGGTATAGGAGTAGGTTGGAAGAAAACTAGGGGCGGCCAAACCAAAACATGGCACAAGTCCATGAAGTCACTGACAAGTGAACTGAGTCATGTTGGTAGGTGTAGACTACCTGGTTGGGGACCGCGAGATGACAGCAACCGATGGTTAGAGACCCTGAATGACATGGCTCAAAATCGTTCGCAATGGCGCAGGTGCATCCACTCTCTGTGTTCTCCCAAACTCTAATCTTCTGAATTCTTCATGTCCCTCTTTCCCTCTTCCCAAATTTCTTTCACCGGATTATACTCTTTAAATAACATCTCCAAACCCTAATCTTCCCGATTACTGCTTATACTCTTGCTACCTTTACCACTACGGGATTTGAATCGACCACTGCATCTCTGTGCTAATGTGGTGTGGCAACTCGAACTGATGTACGTACGTACGAAGTTCTACGTTGTTACTGACTGACTGACTGACACTTTAAAGAGCAGTTCAGCTAGCCTTCAGCTACGACCATCCCCAAATAGCCTGAATGGAACATTGAATTACGTCCCCCGAATCTAATTGAAGTTCAAAAGGCTATAGCTAATCTGGAACGAGGAAGAGAAACTGGTCCAGATGGATTGGCTCCAGAGGTTATTAAGGATGATGGTCCCATTTTATCGATTACGTTGACTAATATTTTAGCTAAAATCTGGGAGTTGGATGTAATTCCATCTGACTGGTCACAATCACTTAATGTCCCAATGTATAAAAAGGGGTCAAAATCATCCTGTGATAATCATAGAGGGATTAGTTTGACTAACATACTAACCTTAATAATTATCGGTCGCCTAACTAAGACTCGTGAACTGCAAACACGAGGAAATCAGACTGGCTTCAGACCTGATCGTGGCTGCATCCACCACATATTCACCATTCGTCAGGTTTTAGAACACAGGCATGCTTATCGGCATACGACAATGACAGTTTTTCTTGACTTGAAAGCATCATTTGACTCTGTGGATCGAGTGTTTCTGTGGCAGTGTTTGTCATTGAAAGGTGTACCTCAAAAGTACATAAACTTTGTGAAGGCTCTTTACTCGAATAGTACCAGTCGAGTATACTTCGCGGCAGTTCGTCCTATTCTACTTTACGGCTGCGAAACGTGGACGTTAATAGTGGAATATACTCGTAAGTTATTAGTACTTGATCACAGATGTCTTAGAAATATTGTTCACATCTGCTGGGATCACCGGGTAAGTAATAGTGAGGTTAGACGCAGGTTATTAGGGAATGATGGTGAATTAGTTGATGAAGTTGTAAATCTTCATCGACTGAGATGTTTGGGTTACGTGTTGCGTATAGCTGAACACCGATTACCACAACGCGCAATGATGACTAGTGTAGGGGATGGTTGGAAGAAAGGTGTGAGGGGGGCAAGCTAAAATGTGGCACCAATCCTTGATGTCACTAACTTCTGGTCTGAGCCATGTTGGTAGATACTACTAGACTACTTGGTTGGGGTCCGCGCGACCATTGTAACCAATGGTTGAAGACTGTGTGATATTGCTCAGAATCGATCACAATGGCGTAGGTGTATACACTCTTTGTCCTCCCTTAAACCGTGAGATTAAGATTGCTTTATAACTTTCCTTCTGCTAACCAATTCTTTCTCTCTGTATCATATCCTTACATACAATCTTTTTTATGTATTACTATAATTCATTTAACTACTATGAATTTGGTGTTCATCTTGTTGTGCTAACACGGTATGGCAATTTGGACCGATGTATGTATGTGCTTGGTCCTACGTTGTAGCTGACTGACTGGTTACTGATACAGTGTAGTACAGTTACGTGTATCTTAAACGATCATTAAGGAGTAACTTATAATTAATAGAATAGCAACGGTTGCAGATAACCCTTGATGATAAGTGTCACACGACACAAAACTCTTGTTCAGGTGATGTGTTGTAGGTCTAATTCATTTTCTTTGATGATGCAACGGCGTAAAGAGGAACAGATACTTGGACTACATTGTGGCCCGTGTACTCAGCCCGTTATTACATTGACAGTTGTATTCTCTAGTTCGGCTATTGATTATTTCCCTTATAGTACCTGTAAGATCGATGATCTTTTTGCCAAATAACGCAACGGCCAAGGAAAACCGATCAATACCTTAATGCTAATTAATTATCAAGCTGCTCTTAACCCAGTATCCAATTAGAAGACTAATATAGAAAGATTAATTCTTTAGTGTACTATATTCAATTATGACGCAACTCATAAAATAATTACCTGAAACGCCTGACCTCACGGCAACATAATTAGAAAACTACAATGAGTACATCACTTAGTTACAAGTGATATCCCAAATCGATTGCAATGAGCACCCTGAATCTGTTATTCTTCGACTTTATAACCTACCTAAAGTACACAAAAAGGACGTCCCTGTAAGCCTCATAGTCAACGTGAATAACTTTCCAAATCATGCTACGGCCAGTCAAAAGTCTTCTCAATAGGTTTTTTTACCGACAAACAGATGGAGTAGAAAGGGGATCACCGTTCGACCTACTTTTAGCTTATTGTTTCACAGTCAATCTTGAAAACTCTGTTTAGATCCACCATTGATAGTTTCCATCTTTACAAAACATTTAAATGATGCTTTCAATATTTGTAACGAAAATATCGATTCAATAACAATGACATAATGGATATCTTTGGTCCTTTCAAAAAAGAATGTTTATGTAGGGTAATGATAATTTGTCATTTTGTAGTTTATGTGTTATAGATTTTTTTTCTAAAAATGTAAATCAGCATATCCTCCGTGCTTTTTTTCTCAATCCTTACAGGTAGCTACATTTATGGTTCTGCTTATATTATTTCTGTTAATACTATTCACTAGGCATTGTATATGGGTTATATCGTCTTCATATTCTCATCCATCGATTGTGTTAGAAACTGTAGATGGTTTTGGTAATCGTCATATATTAGATGATTATAGAGAAGCATATTATTGGCTTAGAGAGAATACAAAGGCTGTAAGTTGTTTAATAGAAATTGTTTTCGTATTTCTCGTGTTTTGTTTTTAAATTAAATCCTCCTATGACATTATTGGTACTATTAGTTGGGACGACATAAAGAGGATGGATTGAGTTTGTTCTCTGTTGTCCCAACCTTTTTAACAGTTTGTCGAAGTGTCTTCGTTTCATTTAATGACATGTTTATGCTAATTACTTTTATCGCTTAGGATGCTAAAGTTATGTCTTGGTGGGATTATGGCTATCAGATTACTGCTATAGCTAATCGAACTGTGCTTGTGGACAATAATACATGGAATAATACTCATATTGGTCGTGTAGGTCAAGCTATGGCATCATCTGAAGAGGAAGCTTATGAAATTATGAAAGAATTAGATGTTGACTATGTACTGGTTATTTTCGGTGGTGTACTGGGGTACAGTTCTGATGGTAAGTAGTTTAAATAATAATTTTTGTGAACATTCATACAAGCTTTACTTAAATTATTTTTATTTTAACACATAGATATTGGTACAAGGAAGCACCGAATACATATGCGCCACACAAATCTCATTTAATATGTGTGAGGGCTGTGATACTGCCCGGGTGCCCAAACCGAAGCAGGTGGTTTTCCTAGGGGGCCACACCGCGAGCCTTCGACCTGAAGGTCTAATCCACAAGGCAGTGAAACAACGTAAGGAGATGCAGTCCCGTGGTAGCCGGCAACCAACAATTGGTTCATACGCCATTTGTTCCCGCAGGATCCTGGAGCCCATGTGCACCATCGATTTGGTTTGGGATCCGGACATTCGCTTTTCGTCCTCTCATTTTCGTAAACAACACCCCCGCCACGAGAAGGCAATGAGTAGGACTTAAAAATACGATTCGTCCAAGGTTGTTGTATTAAGTAATCTAGAAATTTACAAATTGAACAGGGTTTTAAATAAACAAGGCTTCTGTCATATAAAGTAAACTCAGGTGTATACCTTTGAGAATGATTGATTAAACGTTACCAAATAAAGAGCCTTAGTTTGATTGTCCCAAATCTACATGCTGCTGAAAAAAAAATCAGTCTGCATTCCACTTTGTCCAGTTATATCAATAGTATGTTCTTGGGTGAAACGAAAAATGTCTAAGTGATTGATATGCTATATAAAACTCACCAGGAACAGGTTAAGTAAGGTGTTCTCGTTGTATTGGTCTGACGTAACAACTTATCGTGCATGGATCATAGATCCTTTCGCACAAACAAATATAAACGATAATCATTTTTATTGTACTATCTAGAATCGAATACTTTGGATTTAGAAATTGAGTACCTAAACTACATTTTTTTCAGTCAGTCAATTAGTCTCGAGTGTTATCAGTGGTACAAAGGCGGTCATCTTCTCACCGTTGCTCATACTATGAATGGATATTTCTTGTTACGTCCTACCGATGTTTACTAGTAAGAATGGTAATACTATATGTGAATGGATATTAATAATTCTAGCCAGGTACCCTCACTCATTGGTTCGTGTTCATAGTTTATAGTACGTGTCAAACATAGTGAGGACACTAAAAATTATCATCTAAGAGATTATCAAACAATATACTGTTATTGACTTTATCACACTTTGTCATATTTAAAGACCATTTATTGTCGTTTACAAAAACATGCGTTTGACTATATTCTTTCATAATAGATATCAATAAATTTATCTGGATGGTACGTATAGCTGGTAGTACAGAAAAAGGTCGTCATGTACATGAGAATGATTACTATTCACCGCAAGGTGAAATGCGTGTAGATGATAGAGCTAGTCCTACCATGCAGAACTGTTTACTGTACAAACTTAGTTATTATCGATTCTGGGAAATGAAAACTGATAAAAGTAAGTCGTTTTACGTGATTTAACTTTTATCCTAGTGTTATAACGCCCGGTTTTCCACATTTACATGTATCATTATCATTCTCTAGATATAACGCGGAGCAAGAATTTATTCCTCTGCATTATAGTTGTGACCAGTGATTAGACACTAAGCTAACTATATAACAATACGTTGTCTCCATCATTTTTAATATTGAAGAATTGCGATCTCCTTTACTTTGTTACCATCCAAATCCATTCTTTAAATTTTTTTAAAGCTAAGCCACCTGGATTTGATCGTGTACGTGGTCAAGTAATTGGGCATCGAAATTATGAACTACATGGTTTAGAGGAAGCATTTACTTCTTCCAGTTGGCTTGTACGAATATTCCGGGTAAAATCATATGCAAATCGAGGAGTTAACTAATTTTTGTATTTTCTTTTTCAAAATATATGTTTATATATAAAGGATAATTAGCAGTGAATTTCTCTAAATTGTGCAATAATTATCGTTCGGTTCCTGGCCATCTATACCATATGCATTAAAAAAGCCGTTTATGAAGTTTCGATAAAGGATATACCGTCAATTCATTAGTTAGCACTGTACTCTGGAAATATTTACTCAAGCATTATAGCTCTTGTGCAAAGATACACTAGGAAGATCACAAAGTTACAGTCATATCTCTGCGATCATCGAGATCAACAGTGAAATAAGACAGGGTAACCCTATGTCGCCGTTTTTTTCCAACTTTTTGTCTGATGCTATTGCAACTAACCCAGTGTGGGATTTCACTTGAGGTGTAATTATGTTCCCGAATGCTTAGCTCTCAAGTACGTAAAGGTCTTGTTATGTGATTTAGTCTACTTAAACGAAACTCAATAAATTAGCGTGAAACATCTGTAAATATGGCTTCTACTTTGCCTTATTTTAGTGGGGTCATACATTTAGACGTCAATTAGATCGGACGATGTTGTCGATAGGCTCACCACTTTTGTGGACCTTTATCTGACTCCAGTAACATCGTATGACTGATTGCTATCGAAATACACATGTCGGCTATCCTTGTATGTAATTATCGACCTAGATCGCATTGGTCAAATACGAGAATGAATTCCGAGTAATTATATTTCATATAATCGTTGATCCAGACAAAAAATCGGAGAAGCGAAGGGAAGAGAGCGAAGCGAAATAACGCACGGTGGGGAAGGCGTGTGAGCCAACTTCATTCAGTCAAGCTTTAACCAATACTTATAGTCACACAAAAGTAAGCTAGAGACATGTGATGAATAGGATAAGAAGTGTACACACACATACGCTCATATATAAAGTCAGGGTTGATAAGTGAATAATTAACAAAGTCAAAACGTGACTCAAGAAGAATGGATAAATTGGCCTGTCCAAGAGCTACAGTAAGTTACATGGGTTTAACATAGTAACCGACACTGCATTATCAATAGTCTGTACCTGCAGTCGCTACGGTAGATAACTCACACCTGTCGCCAACATTGTGTTAACAATATTGAGCCCTAGCAACGTTTAAGCATCGTACACTTGTGCATTAATTTTACCAACGCTGGGACTAGGTAGGAGAGGGGGTCAGTTATAAAAACAGCTTTACGAATTAGAATCCATTGATGGGGTCTTGTATATTGCGTAAAACAATGGCTTCATGTGTTGTTGAATAATTTAGTAAGGGAGTTATTTATGATCTTATTTTGAACAGTTGAATATCCCATTTAACTGAGAGAAGTTTATTATGGTTATGTTTTAACTTAGCCTACATTCGACTATGTTTACTCGTTTATTGCCTAAATAATTTCACCATCGCCAAGTTGATATCATCTCGCTTCTTGTGATTCAGTTTTAGTCCCCTATCATACTAATCATGGCCTGTATTACAAGAAAGAATAAATACCAAAAGTGTAACGTATACTCAAACTATAAATATTATACAATTGTTGGATTAATTTACTAGCACATACAAAGCTTCTCACAAAAAAAAAGAAAATTGGCTAGAGTAAAGCAACAGAGATGTTGAAAAACAAAATCGTCAATTAAACTGTAAAATATTTTAATTTGTGGTAACAACTTGACATTAAAAATAAGCATTCCTATTGTTCAGTTAAACAAGAAAAAGGACTTTTATTCTTAATATGAAAGTAGTCTAGATTTACAAGAGAAAAACAAGTAGATAAAATTAGCAGAAACAAATTTAGAAAACTTTCAATGAAAGTAGAAAGAAGATCATACACGTAGCTTTGTAGGTTACTGTGAACGCACTTTGATCGGCTTTCGTCGTTTTAATTCTTTTTGTTGTGGATTCTGATCAGTTTCTGTTTGATCGCTAGTGTCTTCGTCTTCCCGTTTAACTTTAACATATGAAGAACATAGAATTCACAAAAATTATATTACAAAATATGTTATATCCTAGTGAAGATTACATTACGAGTAATGTCCTAAGACCTATTATTTATATATTCTCATGGTATAAATATTCAGTAACTAGATTATGTATATCTATATTTCCCTTGTTATAAGCTTTATTTTGACCTACAATTTATTATTGTACGGTTTACGGTTCTTAAGCTATGCTCAGTTTATTGACTACTGCGCCTCCCACGTTCACAACCACTTTTGGCTATATTTTGTACGAGTGTTATTTCCTATTTTAAGTAGGGTTGGGGTCTGTTTGTTTAGTATATAAACCCAGTATGTCTGAAATAGATGATTCGCATAGTGGAGGCTGTTATTGGCATTCTGGTCTCAGTTGAACGGGCTGGGTGAGCAACGAACCAATAGGACGCTAGGCTGATCAGACCGATCGAACGTCATTGGTTTAGTGCAGTATAAGAGCGAATAAGTCGTATTTTCATTGCCGAATAGATTACGTGATAACAAGCACTTCAGAAAGTCACAACAAAATACGAAGACATTTTAGTATTGAAATCTAACTTATTCTTGCATGTAATTGCCACTTACCTGGATGCACGAACAAATCAAGAGAATATTAATAAATATCAGTCTCAATTTATGGTGGAATTTACAGATTGATGAAGAGTTGCATTTTGCAATTACAAAACTATTCAAAAAAAGTTGTGCTCAAACTAACAAAACGGTTAGATCCATTTCAACATATCCAACTAAAGCGTAGTTTATTCAAAGAGAAAAGTAAACATTTCGGGCCTATATTTTAACGTATTCTATAATTTAAACTTAGTGATCCAACGCTGTAATATGATGGAATATAATCTTAATTCAATTATACATGTGTATCATAATATATTCATTGAAACGACTCGTTTTCCTACAAATACAGAATAGCCAACTGAATATAACACAATAAGATTTTTTTTTAAAACAGAACTAGTTAGTGAGGATACTGATATATACCGTATCTCCGATTATTTAATTGATCGTTCCTAGCCATTGTAGAGAACCAGCATCGACAGTAACTACTTGTGTTTCAGTATGCGCTTTTGGATTGCATCTCAGCGAATAGTCGCTTGTGCGCTGTACTATTAAATGAAACTGGGAAATCGGGATAGAAATAAACGTTGTTGCCTTTTAGTAATCCTCTATATGTATGTTTTCATTAAGTGCAGATCAAATGAATTCAAAAATTATTTCCACCAAAAGATCTTTTACCTCCATAAAGCAACATACTATGCGTAGTAATTGAGACAAGTGAGTTCAATCCTCAGGCTAAGTCGAAATGAATTATGTTTGGGACGGGCTTTTGATGTTTCAATTCAGTGAACAAATAACAGTGGCTGACTGCTATGAATACGCTCGAACAACCATTTATTTCTGACAAAAGTCAACTTTAAGGATAGGCACAGGCACTGTTTGATCCGGTGACTTGCAACATTAATTTTACAATGAACACACAATATCGTTGTTACGTTGAAGAGGTTCAAATAACTATGGGTTTTTTTTCTGGAAAACACATCTGGACTCCGACTAAACTCTGTTGCAGAAAGGGGTTAATTTGGATCCTGTTAGGAGCAAAAAGGTTGCAAGAGGAATACCTCTTGGAGCTGCATTCGAAGATATCCCAAAGATATGTTTATCATGTTACCAAGGTCAATTTAGAAGCTAAAAATGGCCTGAGGAGGGTGTTTGTTCAGAGGTGGCTTTGGAGGATCTACCCTCTCTTCAGTAGGTCTTGTCTAAATTCTCCAGACATCAAAGCTTGCAAATGAATTTCCACATTTTAAGCATTTTTGCAATACATTTTAATTTACTGACTCCTATATTCTTATAATACTTAAGAGGTATTTGATGGAGTTTTGTTCTCTGAGCTGCATGGTTTAGCCGTGGAGCTTTCATCGTTCTTTTGAACGACATCATCAGCACAAACTTCAGGTAGAAGTGAAGTTCCCGAATTTCTCTACATGTGGTTCACAGCTTGTCCTGTGCACTTCGATGTTGATTGGTTCTTGTTGACCTTAAAATTGTCATTGTTTACTTCTTTGCCTTGGTTGTATCTCGCATTGGTTTGATTTTTGTCCCTATGTTTGTACATAATTTTCCTGCTTGGTTGATAAATTGGGTCGGTTTCAATGTGTTTGTTTGTTGCTGATCGACCCGAGTGACAAGCTTCTAGAAATTCTCTGGTGTTTTTGGAATTGCCTCCATTTATCTTTCGATGTATAAATAAAGTAATCTGGGGACAGCGTGAGTGAACACTTCACAAATAGGTCACGTGGTTTTATTTGTCACTGAGAAATGTTTCACAAAATGCTGGACCTTTTCCACTTCAAATTTCTAGAGGTTAATTTCCCTTAATTTGACTCCAATAGATGATATCCCACTAACTGAGTATTGAAACAAGTCAAGTAGTACTATTAATCTACTCAAGAATATTCAAAAGCCAGAACACCAGTTGTTGGGAGAGTTTATTGTCATTAATAAATAAAGTTTGCAAGCATTCAAAAGGCGAGCACACTGGGAAACGAAAATTGAAAAATCCATATATATTTGAGTGTGAAACGATCGTGGATAAATTATTGTGTGTCTACAACCGATGGTAGGATATATAAAGATTAAGGTGCAGATAGCTATACGTTCAATCAGACTAACACATACTTTTACATAGTCGATTGTCTAAATTACAACACGTCGACAAATAATAAATAAGAACAATGGGCTTATTAGAAATTATCGCTCTTATTAACTTACACTTATGAACCACCGTTTCCATGTATTGATTATAAAGAATCTGAATTTAGATCCTCACTAACAAACGTAAAACCATGTTCAGTGTTATGTGATAAGACAAACTAAATGATTCCTGATCATAACACTTGTGTAAAACTGTGAATAATGACAGCCACTTTACTGGGTAGAGGGAAATTTGTAACACTGATGATTGAGTGGATAAATGTTATTTTTATCAGCCAATGATCTATGTCAGTACATTACCTGAGAGCACTGACATTTTGATATGTGCGACACGTCTGTGTTGATGA